TGTTATCCTGCTACTTTGTAAAGGACTTCATAGCGCCGCTGCCTGCACGGACTTGGGACCCTAGCCGCTGAAATACTGTTTCCTGCCCGACCGCTGAATTAGTAGAATTTCCTGAACTGCGGAAAACGCCGTTTGTTCGGTCTCGGGAAAAGAGTTGCAGGAGCAGGTGGATATACAGTATTTATCATATATTATGAAACATTCCTGCTACAGCCCAAGAGCTAACGTGTACAAAACCGCAAACTTCGTGTGGTACACCTGGTCTTCTGAGGCGACCTGATCCCATGTCGCACTCCGGGCCTGAGCAATAATACATTCACAAACCGCTGGCACAAAATAGGGATTTATTCATAGTTATATATATATTATTTACATAGCTGACCCCAGGACAGTCTGGGACTAAGGCTGTGAAAAAGATGAAGACGATATATATATTATTTACAACAGAACGTCACTTTCCCCTGTGCATTTGAACGAGTCGTGAAATGATAACGCACATGGTTAGCGTTAGGTTTCGGAATGAAGCTTGCTGAATGAATGGATCCCAAACACCGGATCTTCTCGAAATTCTCAGTGAGTTATATGCATTTGCGTCAGTGCTAAGTTCTTCCCACAGATTCCTTTCTTACTGCACAAACAGCAATAGGAAGATTTGGGTATTTCACTTCTTGAGTCTGACGACGCATAGAAAATTAAGAGGTAGCATCCTCTGCAACATTAACCCTAAAACGTTGAATTCCTAATATGGTAGTGTGGGTTTTCCCTCACGTCCCAGCACAGCAGGGCCATCTTGCTAGGGATTACCAACATTGTGTACAGCAGGGGTCAAGTTGAATACTTGTAGGTCACACACAAAGCTGCTTGAAACTTTCAGAAAGTAATTTCAGGAAAGCGAAATATCCCCGAGCCTTAGATCACCAAGGAATCTACTAAATCTGCCTTCTTGCTAAAAAATGAATGGAAGATCCCACTCAAGGCCCTGTTTCAACCCGAGCCCATAAAACATTCAATGAAGGGCTGGAACTGGCCTTTTGTCAACTATTCATCTCTCCTCCACGTCAAGGCCTTCATTCAAATTAAAAGAAAATGTAGTAGTTCTTCAACCTGCCTACCGGAATGGAACAGACCACTTAAAAAAAAATGGTCCCTATAAAATAAAGCATGGATAGTATTTAAATACAGTATATATGTAGAAATACATGTAAAGGTAATTAAAAAATGCCTATAAGGAAAACACACAACAAAAGGAGACAGACTGGCTCAGCCAAGATGTGTAGCTTGAGAACCACTGAGGTGGAAGTTATCTGATCAAGCAGGAGCTAGGAGAGACAACTAGGAGCCTTCAAAATAAATCACCCCACAAACAGCGCTGGCTCAGAGGGGCCTGGGTGTGGTGGAGGAGGTGGGGGGGGTTCACAGAGACAATAAAAAAGCACATGTTTTCAAAGTCACTCCTCGCGGGGACGGGAGGGAAGGGTCTTACTGAGCAGACAATGGCTTGGCACTCCCCCACAAACGCGTCACCTCCGCGATCTGTCCGTAAAACACATTCCAGCAGAACCCACCCCCCCTCCCATCGGCAAACTCTTATAAATAATAAATACCTCCCTGCAGGACCGAGGGGACACGCTGGCAGCCTGGACCAAACTTCTAAATCAAAGAACAGTCGGTCGCCGTCGTCTGAAATATCATTTTTAAAGTTAATGGAGGGAGCCGTGTGTGGCTGGGGGAGGGGTGGGGGTTTCTAAAAAAATAAATACATGCCAATTAAAAACACAACAAAGCTTTTCCGCTCCCGTGCTGTCCCGGCGAGACGTACCCATCAATAATTTGTGGAGCGACTGCTTGTGACAAGAAACAAAGCGAAATGCTGGGAAGACCGCAAAGCCAAGAGCCAGAGCTCTCTGGGGGCAGAGCCTGCTAGTAATTGGCACATTGAAGCTCCTTTTAACCAGTCCCCCCCGAGAGAGGCTATTTGGAAGTATAATGTCATGATTCGGTTTTTCTAATCCCAATTCCTTCCCCAAAATAGGCACAGATAGCAAGTACCGCATGCTGCCCAGTAGCACAGCTCCCTTCACACATTTACAGTGTATGTCTCCTAGAGGAAACGTTAGGAGTACATCATCCTTCACAAAAAGTGCAAACCAGCCAATTTTACCCAAAGAGTGCAGAATTAGCAAATCAAAGCTTTTTAGGGGTACATACAAAACTTTGAAAATGGTCCAGGGATTTTTCCAAATTGAAATCTTAGATTGCAATCCACACCTGGTTTTAAAAAAAATACGTTTCTACATCTTGTCTTTGCACTTACTGATCACTTGATGTAGACAGGCTGAACAGCTGAACAACTTACAGGAGGCAGAGGAAACTGAAAGTCTCTCTTCTGTGATCAATTCACTGCACCTTGTGCACACATTATATACAAGCATGAACAGACATAAATCAATGTTCTCTGGAACTGTGTTCTCTGCAGCTTCTGCATAAACACACACACAGAATACAGTGTCTGAAACTACAGTGATATTCTATGAACTTTGCTTTGATAGTCACAGTGAATTATACCTAAGAAGAAAAAAAGCATTACAGTTCATAATACTGTGATTTTATACATCATGTAGTCCCCTTTACAATCCTGATAACTGCAATTATCCAATTTTGCACTTTTCACTTTTGAAATAATCCTGGTTGTCTTTAATAATGTGAGGTATACATTCTGTTTAAAGTAACATTGAAAAAACGGAGTTGCAGGTGGATATTTGCTAGAACGTCGTGCCAGGAAGACTAGAACAGAGTACTAGATCGATCACACTTTGCCTGCGAAAAGGATTCAGAAATGTGCTTTCCACATAATCAAATGCACTGTTCATACGCCCTCCAGATTTTGTCTGGGGGTCCAAAAATATATACACGGCAAAACGTGAAATGCTGCCGAACCCTGTTCTTGATCACTGTTTAAGCCTAGACGGTAAAGGAGAGGAGGAAAAAACATCCACATGTCCAATCATATGGACTGTCCGCAGGCAAGACATGAAAAATGTCCCATCAAAGACCACAGGAGGGCCGTCTCTTGCATTGTTCCTGCAAGCAAACACACGACTGAGGCACCCGGAGTCAGGGAGCAAGAAATAAGACTGCAATCTCTCAACAAGATAGTTTCCCATTATTTAGAAACCGTTTGTGACCGTGCAGAGGAATAAAAAAAAAAGACAAAGACGGCCAGCCAGTCGCACGCCTGTCTGGGCCTCACCCTGGCCTGAGTGGTGGCTGGTGTCCCTGCTTCTGGAGGCCAGCAGGCTGCTGTGCGGAGCAGTTTGCAGAGGCTCTCGCTAATGCAAGGAGCAGGTGTTCAGCCAGACCCCCAGTGAAATGAATCGGCCGCACCTTGCAGACACACAGTCCCGAGAGGGCCGGGGGGGGAACACGGAGCCCCACCCCCTCACTTTGTCTCCGTCCTGCCCTGTGTTTCAGCGAGGGGCTGCAGGCCAGCTGAGCACATGGCTGTTCATTTCTCCCCTCCGCGTCTCGCCTCTAACCTCTCACGGCCTGTTAAAGATGACATAATCGCCGTCCTTGATGTCAGAATGAGCAGTCATTGTTTTTCCTTTGTTTTACAATGAACCAATTTTGAAAACCCATCTGTGGTTTTATATAATGAGGCTATTTGTACCATCATCCTAAACACAGCACCAAATGTAGGAAGCCTTGCTTTTGTAGAACAGCAACAATAATATAATGACATAGATGCCACTGTGAATATCATAGTTGTTTATGATCTTTTGCTTCTGCCTAAATCTGGTGTATTTAGGTTTATCTGGAAGGGAATGTTTTAATCTTGCAGAAGGTGAAATTGCAAACGGCTTGATTCCACTGTTTCCACACAGTCAAAATATTGT